AGCCCATCTAGATCCTTCAACTAGCCAAGTTCAAGTCTATACCTATGGGGTTCGACCCAGTCATTCGCCAAGTCACGTGTCACAAAGTAAGCCACGGGTGACGCCATCCCACACCAGAACTGCCAATGCCCCAGGTGGCTGTGAGATAACCCTTGACTTCCTTGCCAAATTGCCACAAAGCCTCAGCAAGTTCCCATGAAATTTTATTATTAGGCAACCCTTTTTTTTCACTTCACCAAGTATTCGGTTCGGAGTTTGTGGTGCCCTTGCTTGTGAATCACTCCGTCTGCCAAAAAGTGTTTAACTTGCCTATCATAGGAGCACCTAAACCAATAATTTATGAGATTTTTAAAAATATATAATTTTTTATTTTTAGGGTCTGTTCGATTGAGCTGATAAAGATCAAAATAATCAGCCTTATCACGTATTTGCTACACGTGTAACAGGCTCAGATAAAAATTCAAGCAAAGGCTTATCAGTATAAGGGTGATAAACTTATCACCCCTGGCAAGAGAGATAAGGTTTATCTCCCTTCAACATTTTTTTTTTGACAATTTTGCCCTTCTCTCCAAAGCCTCCGCCGTCACCCCTCTCGCCGTCGACCCACCACTGTCGCTCCTCTCACCAACGCCCCTCCTGCCGGAGCTCACGTAGGTTTGGGCGCCTGCGTGAGCAGGGGCACCTATGTGAGAGCATGCTGGTTCTGGCGCTTGTGCATGTAAGTGCCCACAAATCGGGTACTTGCATGATGCAGGCGATTGCAAATTGGGCACCTACCACGCAAGCGGGCTCCTGCTTGCTAGCACGTAGGCTCCGGCGGGGACGGCGAGCATGAAGGCTCCACAAGATAGTAGGGACGGCGAGCACGCAAGCTCTGACAGGGACAACGGGGGCGTCGGTTGAAGTGGCCAAAGAGGAAAGGTACCAAGGATAAATTTGTAAATTGAATCCTTATCCAATTTATTATTTGAATGGCTAAAAATTAAACCGAACATGTAATAAAAATATGTTTACTTTTAGGGTAGAATAAAATTTATCCTATCTGCCCTATCAGTCTTTATTCTAATCCCAAAGCGCACACCCTCTTAGTTGAGAATCAAAATCTCTAGATAATTTTAAAATTAATTAATAAATTTTGACAGAAATAGTTTTTTAGTTTAATATGTTTCTGCAAAGTAGATCATTTCTCTCAAACAATTAGTTATTATCTAATGACTCTTATTGTATTTTAAAGTAAATTCATTTTAGAGTATTTAACATTTTTTTAAAAGATTTTTTGAATGTTTAAAGTTATTTTTGTGAATTTTCGAAGTGAACTTCTATACTATTACTGCTAATAGAAGATTCAAAATTGTCTTTTACTATCTCACAAAAGGCCAATAGTTGTCAATATCTCTTCAATGTCTCTCTGATTCTTTCCTCTGTCAAGTATAAGGGATTTAGCGAAATCTTGATCAACTAGAGTTTGAGAGATTTGACGTAAATTTGGATATAAAGTTAAACCACTATTTCTTACTTTTAACCTTTTTATTTTACTTAAAATTATTTTTATATTTAATTTGAGTGAATTTTATAAATTTAATTTAATTAAGTTTTATTATACTATTAAATTTTTCCCACACTTAGTTTTTGCGTTAAAAAACCCAATTCACTCCCTCTTGGGTTACCTTTTAAGACAACAATTAGTATTGAAGTTAGACTCTAAATATTGACCTAACAATTCTTTAGGGTAAGATTATATATTCTTGCAACTATTTGTGCACATGGGGTTATGGAGGGTCAGTTTATTATTGAAAAGTTAGAATGATTATTTATCTTCATCAAATAGATGATGATATTTAAAATATAATTGAAGAAGAATACAAGACTCCTATGGTAGTTAAAGAAAATAAAGTTATTGTTAAATATAAAGAGGATTGAGATGAAAATGATAAAAAAAACTTTATAATTAATGTAAAAGCCATATATATATATATATATATTTTTTGTACTCGGCATAAAAATGAGTTTAATAAAGTCTCTACATGTAAAACGGTACACAGTATTTGTAGAACACTTGAAATAATACATGAAGATACAAGTATAGTTAAGAACACAAAACTTATTATGCTTAAATATGAATTTGAACTCTTTAAATGTAATAAAATGAATCTATTAAAAGAATATATACTCGTTTTACGGATATTATTAATGACATGATTTCTTTTAGTGAAAGTTTTAATAATGAAATTTTTATCAAGAAAATTCTTAGGATATTCAAGAATTGGACTCCAAAAGTGATTGCCATACAAAAAGTAAAAGATCTCTTCAAAATTTCAATTGAAAAGTTTTTAGAGTCATTAATGACATATGAAATGATATAAAAAAAATAAAGATAAGAAAGAGCCAAAAAGAGAAAGGAGTAAGGTTTAAATTTTAGCAACTAAATTATAGAATTGAAGAAAACTCAAGGACTAACCATGAGCATACATTAAATTATGCAAAATTATACAAAACTTAGCAAAATCAAGAGATTTACTTGGGTTTTGGGGTTCGGTTTCTTTCTCTCTTAATCAAGCTTAAATTTTAATAATTAAACCATAGATTTGGAAGGGAACTAGAGATTTACCCTAAGCGTACTTCGGTTTGAGCAAAATCCACACAATTTAGCATATTCAAGCCATTTACCTCAAGGTTGAGCTTCAGTTTCATTCTCCCTTTTTTCTCTTCTTTTCACCTACTTGCTTCTCCTTGTTTCTTCCCAAAATGGTTGGCCAAAAAGCTTATAAACCAAGGGATGTGGCGGTTTGGCCTTCCTTAATGACTAAGAGTTGCTAAAATAACCAAAATAGCCTTTTACTTACTAATTTCTTCCCTTCATGTCCTCTTCTCCTACTTAATTTTTTCTAATCCCTTGTTAACCCTTGGACTTCATACTAATGCCTTTTATATCCCTTAAATTACTATTAATACCCTAAATTAAGAAAATTTTCAAAAACTTTGCATACTTAACCATTTTCCTCACATAACCCTAACTCTAATTTAAAATCTTTAACTTCTGTCTCACTTTATTCTTGCTTCCACATTACTCCAATTCAATTTGTTTTCTCAAAAAGATCGTAACTCAATTGTAAGGTCATTTACAAGAAATTTTTTTAAACATTTATCTCAAACTAAGTCATTAAGATGCATGTAATGCTATGTGTAGAGTGCTATGTTAGAAATGCACAAATTCATGTATATGCCCATGGCTAGAGTGGAGAAATATCACACAGATATAGGCCCTTGGTTTGGAATGTTGTAACTATAGTCTACACATTTTAGTGAAGTTCATGGTTAATAAAAGTGCACTTTTATACTTCTACTTATACCAAACACTTTTGATTATATTAAAAATCATTTTTGAGAAAAATTATGTGAAAGTGTGTCTTAAAGCAGTATCAAAAATCATTTTTGAGAAAAATCATGTGAAAGTGTGTTCTAAAGCAGTAAAAGCGGTAAAAACATGCATTTGATAACGACTTACTCAATTGTAGTTTTAAGACTATATTTTTTATTTGAGCTAAAAAAATTTTACTTGTATAATAGGTTTATATAAAATCCAATTATAGCAAACTAACATGTGGTCTAAAACACTGTTTTGCTTACAAATTTTTAATTCTCTATCCCTCCTTGTTCTTTTTCTTTCACACATATTTTTTATCTGCACATTGTACATTATAAATGAAGAGAGAAAACTACGAACTCTTGGTTTTGTGTAAACAGTCTATGTTTTGTGTGAAGTTAGAAGTGATAAAATGGACTATAGCCATCTTGGTCTTGGACTTAATCTTGGTGGTCTGGCATCTAATTTTATTATACATAGCTAATATAGGTAATGGCAAGCTCTGCATCCACTCTTTCTTATTAGTCTTGCATATTTGTTAATATCAAATTAAAAACTTTGAATATTTATGACTTGATTGTTATAATACAATTCTATATTATTTCCTATTGGTCATATACTCTTTTTAGTATTAAATTAGAACCTTGAATAATTATGATTATTTGATTATATCATTGAAATTTATTGTTAATAAGCTCTCTCTCTTTCTCTCTACCACACATAAAACAAGTAAAATTTTCACTTTTAGGTTTTTACTTTTATAGAACCCAAACACTTTTAAATAAAAACTTGCTTTTGATAAACCTCAATGAAACCAATTTAAGAGCATGTTTGGAGGAAATATCACTTAATTAATATAATATTTCAATTTACATATATTTTGAACTTGGAAGAAGTAAAAATACAAAAATATGAGTGAAAATATAGTAGAGCAAGTTTTAAACAAAATTATTATTTTTCTTCTACGAAGTAGCTGAAGTAAATATGGACAATAAAATTTTGGATGAACTCCACCTTCTTGACTTCTTGGCTAGACAACTTAAGGGGTCATGAAAGTTCAAGGTTGTTCCTAAAGATTATAGAATTTTATTTCTACTTAAAAAGAATAATACAATTGAGACTCAATAATGCTGGTTGTACATTAGGATTTCTACCAAAAAAAAAAATTGCAAATGGAATATCCCACTTTCTTTCATCATATATAAGTAGGTTAAAATCACCTAATCATTAACATCTATTTGGTAAATTCAAAGCTGGTTGCAGGTTACAATCACTTTGGCAATGAAGAATTATAAGAACTTTGCACTTTATTCATTCAAATATGCAGCAAGAGCTGACAAACCTAAAATTTCTTTGAATAATCTCTACACGATTTTTTTTTTTTTTTTTTTTTTGGTGTATACAAGAATGTTTTACTACTTCTACCACACTTACTAGATTTTCAACAAAATGGTAACCATACATAATCAATATCCCAAAGAAAAGTAAAAACACAATGCCCTATTGTCTACAATGTCCATGTTCTCATCACCCCTTGAGACATTATAGTACAAGTGCTTTAACAACCATACAACTGCAGACATCGATGCATTTACACCTTTGATTACAAAAGCAGTGATCCAAATGAAGCTTTTTGTCAAGAATATAATTTGATGCGCATTGTTATGGGCTGCCGACAGAGGGGGCATGAAGAAATAGTCTCACCACAATCTCTGCAAGTCTGCAAAACGAGGATATTTTGCAAGAATAGTGATCACGTATCCCAAAATATTCATACCCAACTAGCTGAAACTACAGTGATCCTTTGCTTAATTAAGAGAGTAATTGGCACAGTAGCAGTTATCATAGAACAAAGGCAGAGGTAGCAAGAGATGGAACAAATTAAATATCATCAGGTTATACTCTCCTTTTCTCTTTTCTTTGTTCAACCTGTTCTCTACTACAAGCACATGCTGTCTATACACTCAGACAAACGAAAAAACAAGCTAGTGAAATGCTTACCAAATGACCACATCCAAAAGCCATATTCTTCGGATTTGTCAAGCAAATGGGACAGACCTTGCATAAACAATCAAAAACATCATAAATATGCAGGACTTGAAAATGGGGGAAATCAGCAGCATCTCCAAGATAAACTGAATCTTACTTGTTCCACAGGTGTTTGATCTGCTGAGTCTGAGGTCATTATCTGTGGGACTGATTTAACTGCATTGTCATGAACTATGACTGCAGGTGGAGGTGGCAGAGGCACTGTCCTTGGACCACTGGTATATCTTCTAGACAGGTAGAAAGGTTATGTCTATCCATAAATCTTTCAACTAAAACCATATGATACCAAGAAATCAAAGCTTTTTAACACTTACTCCATACGCCGGTGGCTTTGTGTAGCTCTATATTGAAAAGGAATTTCCATCAGTGCAGCTAGGGCAAAGGCTGCTTCCTTTTTTGATATGTCTATGTTCTCGGACATGATTTTTGTGAAATTCACAAACTATAGGGAATGATAGAAATCATATAAAGTTAGGCCCCAAATAAAGATGAAACAGAAGCTTCACCTAGCAACCAAAGAAACAACATGCAAACTCAAATACTTTTTATCTATGCAGAAGGTTCGTCACATCAGAGAACATATTCTTTTGGCAATACAACAAGAAAGTGATCATGGACTATCAAAGATAAATGGAATATTTGTTGCAAAAGAGAAGGAGAAAAGAAAAAGAAGAAGGGGCGGCCATAGAGGTTATCCATTTGTGGACATGAAGAAAGAGCAAAGTATTTTAAGTCAGATATTCTAATTGAGCAGGGAAGAGAATGAAGGAAAGATTTAAAATCATTATAGTGTCTGCGGAACTCACTCTAATCATTCACGAAGCTTGACTGCTGAGAGAGATTATCAAATGGATGCATAGTGCGAGGATCCTAAGCTTTTCACAATCATAGTCTCTCTGACAAAGCCATCATTAGGGACATACTACTGAATTAAATCTCCATTATCTACTATTTGTTATTCATCAGAGGTTCTGTTTTTTCTTAAAAATTATTTCTACAATGAGTTTTGTGTGCAAGGGCCTTGCTTTCTTTCTCCTGTCTTTATTTAATTATCCTGTGCAAGCTGGCATCAGTGTCCAGTACATGTCAGCGTGATGCAACAGAACACCTTTAGAGAATTTTCCCTTCTTTACTTTTATTATTATTATTATTTTTCTCTTTACCTATCGAGCCCAGGTTAGTTGCATTAATGGGTTGTATACCACATGCACAAAAGCCCTGAACCCATTCAGTTTTATTTGAATGGCAAATTTCGAAATTAAAAAAAAAAAAAAGAAACAGAATCTTATTTAAGAAAGAAGAATAAAATATCATCTAAAAATTTGAGAAATAGCATAATAGGTATTTTTGAGGACATGTCATATACAATGATAAAAATTATAAATTTTTTTTTTTTTTTTAAAGTCTTGACAATGTTGTGTCATACAATTTTTTGAAAATTGCATGTCTATATGTTTCCATTGCTTCCAATGTGACAAGAGCATGCACATCCAGGCTTCCTAGGCAGGACATTTCGTTCTTCATTTTCTTCCTTCAAAATTTTTTGCCAAATTATATATAATTTCATATATGTGTGAACACAGGTACATAGATATAAAGAAGAAGCCAAATCAGTGTAATTGGCAACTTTATCCCCAAGGTGTAGTACTTTAAAGAAGATTTAATAAAAATGAAAGAAAATCACAAAGTTGAGAAGGAAAATGCACAGGGCTGTAGGCCATTTAGATGCTAATAAAGTACTGACAAGGACTTCAGTTTAGTCATTGCTTTGTGTTCAAGACTACATTAGCTGAATGCACTCCGCAATTTGTAATTATCATAGGACTGAAAAATATTATCCATTTTTCTTTGGAATATTGCAGGTGCATTTTTTAAACCAAATGGCATTACAAGCCATTCATAATGTCCTTGAGGACTGAGGACTAGTAAAAGCTGTCCAAGTTATACTATCAGCATGCATAGCTACCTGATGAAAACCTGATTTTAAATCAAATTTGCTGTAGATATTCTTTTGTTTGATTTTGATAAAATCAAACCATGTTGAGTACACAAATTAAAGAATATTTTAAGATGATTTACATGCTGTGAAATATTATCAGAAAATATGAGAATATCATCAATATAAGTAATGATGAAATTATCATAGGACTTATGCTGAGATTGCTGTTTTATTATTTGTCTAAGGTTATTTTCATTTATCCTAATATTCTTAATAGGTATTCCTTGAGGAACATCTATATTTAGCTTTTGTTTTAAACACCATATACATGTCATTAATTGACAAAGTACAGAAGTCCAAACACAAGGTGATAAAACAATCATCGAACAGAATAATATTATTATAGAATTATTAATTCAAGCTCTGATACCAATTAGAGATTACTCACCGAAAACCGAAATTGTGCTTGTGATTTGTACTTCTTGATGAGTACTCTGTATTCAGAATTGCGTAAAATAAAAGGGGGCGGAAGGAGAAAGAGAGTGCAGGATATAAGTACAAAGATCTTTTGGATCTTTCCAAACTGCTATTTTTTGTGATGTTTTTGATATCACAGGTTTTCCTTTAATATATAAGCTTTCAAGATTTCTATTAATCTTGTCTATAGTAGTTGAAATATCTGAACTGGAAAGCAACTTATCCTGAGCAATATCAACAGCTCATAAATATAGCTGGTAACACTATAAATGTTACAACACAGATTAGACAAATGATCCTTGGATATGATGCCACCTAACACCAGGTCATTGAACTAACTAGTCTAATATTTAAGTAAATAATTATTATACAGAACCATAAGGAATTACACTTACTAAAAAGGTTAACAATTCCATTAAGTACCTGAAAATTGTCAAATGCGCGATGAGGGATGTTATCATCAAAATGTTTCATCGCATCCCATGGTCCATCTCCAACACCAACCAAGACAATTGAAAGAGGATACTGACTGTTAATCAAGGACCACAAAGTAACACTTTAGAGGAACAAGAAGAAAGATCATAAAGCAAGCTGACAAATAGAAGCTATCTTTACCATGCAGTAACTATAGAATCAATAGTTGCTTGTTCTTGTGTACTATATCTCCCAGGGGGTGTATCTGAACTCCTGGTAACCTAATATTAAAATATAAAAGAGCATCAGGATTGACTTTCCGAGGAGTTCCATTACAATTGATTATATCTGTAATAAAACAGTTAATAGAAATAATGTTATAAACCTGTCCATCTGCAATAATGACTAGCACATGATATTGACCATTGCTTCTCTCCACAATACCAATTGCAGCATCAATTATAGGTGCAAATGAGGTAGGACCTAAGCATAGTGTGAATAGCAAACCAGTATCACTGAAGAGGCAAAGATAAACTTGTACACTCCCGACATAATAGAGAATTTATCCAAAATCAATATTTGATTTTCTGATCTCCATATCCCATGTAAGCCCTAATTTATTTTCATTTAGGATTAAGTACGGGGATGGTATCTCAACTTGACCCGGATGTTCAATTTGGTCCCTCTACTTTTATTAATGTTCAAATAAAGACAAAAATGACAGAATCTGTTGAGGGTGCCACCCAATATTGGATGAGGTGGAATTTTTTACCAGCAGCTGGACTAAGAGAAAAACTAAATACAGCTTGATGGAAAAAAAAATAAAAAATAAAAACTAAAATTACAAAGCCCACCATTTCTCTCTAACAGCATAGCAAGACAAGTCACATTGTCCTTATTCTCTGCTAGCAGTTAAGTTCTGATTAAGTCCCGTATGGTGTCGAACTCCATTGCAGACTGCGGCAGAGAAACCGCCAGATAATCTATTCTCCTACAAAGCAATGATCTCCAGTTTTAGCAAACCAGCGAGATCAAATGGTAACTGACAGAAGAGATTTGGCCTGCTCAAATCAAGCATTTTTAGCTTATAAAGATGCCCCACAAAACATTGGCAGTCAATTGAACTGAGGAAAAGTTGGCGAGTGAAGAGGGTAAAGCTCCTTCCAGAAGAATTTTTTTCAAATTCATTTCTCTCTAACCGGATGGCAAAACCCATCATCTTCTCCTCCATTGATGGTTTCCAGGACTTAATGGGAACTTAAATATACAAATATTTATTATTTATGCATATTATGTGTTGTGTTTTCCAGAACTGATTATCATTGGGTTCATTATCCTGGGGATCTGTCTTGGACCCAGAAAATTACTGAAAAATCAGTCTGGACTAAGGTTTATTCGAGGTCATGTCCAGCCCCTGTAATTTTTTTTTTTTTTTTTTTTGGCCCAAAGATTTAGTTGGAAGGTGCAACAGGTTCACCAGATTTGGATCGAGCATGCCAAAATTAGGAGTTATTGGTTTTCTCTATCAAGTTTGACTTCTATATGCTTCTATTAAACTGAGTTATTTCAACCTAAAAAGTGGGAAGTCAAGGGACACCAAGTTTATTTATATATTAATTTTTATTTCCTGAAAACAAAATGATTCCTTAGATTGTGGGGACCCCTCATTATTTCCTTGGTTGCTGTCATATTCATTCTGTGATTGTTTATCATTTGAACTTAATATTTCAATCAGAAGTAGTATAGAGAAAAGAAAAAGTTAAGAAAGAATCATGACAAAAGAACATTACAGAAATCTGTATTTCCTATTATTGGGTGTCTTTTAAGCTTCACCACACCTGATATGCAGATAATTCATGCCCATGTTGGTATCTTACTCATATCTGTGTTGCAATAATTGTATAAGGACTTAGATGTGTTTTACTTAACTTTCACAATCAGAATTGCTCAACCAGTCTTGGTTACTTGTTTTCCAATTTATAGCTGCTAAAACTTTATATTGTTACAGTTATCAAAATCGTTTAGTTAAAGATAAATTTATGAAAGCAGGGACTAAACCAGAGAGACTGTTCCAACACAGAGAAACTACTTGATGCTTTGGCAAGGTACTGATTGCCAGTGGCTACACTCCGGCAAGTTTATTCCTCCAACAGTCAATTAAACCAAGGAAAAACAGTCAGCAAGTGACGAGGGTAAATTCCTTCCAGAAAATATTTTTGAACTCGTCTCTCTCACAGCATGGCAAGACCCATCACCTTCTCCTCCCCACTAGCGGTTTTGAATAGGGCTGTTAAAGGGTCGGATCCAAGCCGGATTAGAGATAGATCCGAATCCGACTATTATATATCATATCCAAATCCTATTTGCAAATCCTATAAAATATGTGCTCAGTGTTACCATATCCGAATCCGAATAAAATCTGACATCTAACACAAAAATCGGAATCCGAATTGTTAAATTATCATACATCTATTATTTTACATTTTAGAAAAAATAATTCAAAACTAAAATAAGAAATTCTTAAAAAATGAATTAATAAATAATTTTAGAGTTTAGAAATATAATATATATATATATATATTTGATCCACTACAAATATTGCATTTGAAACCGATTTACTGGTAATATACAACAATTACATTTAATCCATCAATATACATATTCTCCATTTTTGTTTTTATAAAAAATAAAAATATATTTCTAATTCTAATTTTAAAAAAATAATTTTTTAATTAAAATTTGATAAATCAAATTTATATTGTGATATATATACATACATATATATATATATAAAACATTATATCATACTATATATCATATATATTGTTTACACACACACACACACACATACACACCCCCACACAAAGACATACATACATATATCGACACACACACACACACCAAAAAAAAAAAAAAAAAAAACAAAATACAATAGTACTTATATACAACATACACACGTGTGTGTGTATTCGGATTCGGATCTTTATCAAATAAAATAAAGCAAAATCCATATTCACTCCATTTATTTCAAATTACGAACTTTTATAATTATATCATATCCATTGAATCTTTTATTGGTTAAAAATGCTAAATAATCAGATCGAATTCATATCAGATTTGGATGAAAATCCGCTTTATTGACAACCTTAGTTTTGAAGACTTACTAGCCGGTGGAGGAGGACAAGGTGATGGGTCTTGCCATGCTATTAGAGAGATACAGTGGGTCGTTGTTATTTTCTTTTCTTTTTTCTTAAATGAGATGTAATTAGTTTTTTCTTTTTTCCTCTTAGTCCAACTGGCATCAATATTAATAGAAAATGTCACCTCGTCAAATTTTGATGGATTCTATCATGTTGTCCTTATTTGAACATTAATATAAGTAAAGGGACTAACTTGAACACAGTAAGTAAAGGGACCATATTGAACATCCAGGTCAAGTTCAGGGATCATCCCCTAGCTTAATCATTTTATTTATTTATAATAGAAAATGTAGTCATGAAACATCCTTGTCATTTAACAAACTCTGATAATAAATGAACTCTTTCATAAAACTCACTATTGTTTTTATGAATGGATTAGACTCTTATCGTTCATGAGCCAATTTTCAAGGAACCAGTAGACAATCCTTTATCACAGGTTTAACATACATCATTTTTAAAATAATGATGGTCCTCGTTCAGTTAAAAAGATGTGCAAACAAAATGATGGATCTGCTTCCTCTAGTGACACTTTCAAGGCTTATCCTGTCATTCTCATTCAGTTTCAAAAATTGATATCCAAGGAACAATACCTACTCATTCACTTGTTAATAACACAACGTAGTTAGCCATAAAGATTAAACCAGTAGACATCACACTTCCCGACACTTAGTCCACTTAAACATCATGTTAGTGGATTGCCAATGCAAAAATACAACACAATGCTAGTAAAGGATCCTAGTAAAGAAGATTGTCAGTATGATTCTGAAAAACAAGAAAGCTCCCATGCTAAAATCAAGTGTCAAGAGACTTGTGAATATAAATATACAATTATACATATACATTATTCAATAAATTCAACTAAGGATTTTTCCAATTACATGGGGTTGGCTGCATAGACCACATTTGTGCATTCAACTCCATCATAGGTCATGCCCTGAGGTAAAAATGTAGACTACGCAATAACTTGGGAATTTCTTTCAATGTAGATACTATCACTTTTCCTAACTGGAATAGATATAAGTGTATGTTGCATTGTCCAAACACTTTGGTGTCTTTTTCCATATTACCCTCCTAAGTGCTACATTAATCATCTTGTGAATCCAGACACTTTTGAATTTATTCTTCCTAGCTGTGCCACACATTCACTTAATATTTTCATTCCTATTACCCTGATTTTGCTAACATGCTGTTTCTTAAAACTAGTCTTTTAGCTCTTCAATAGAACTTTCCTTAAACTTGTAGGAATACAATGATCACTCAAGACTGTTGAAGGATTTCCTAATTAATATTAATTATGCCTTAATTCTATGACTTGCATTAGCACTAGTCTCTCCCTCCATAAAGTTCCTTTAGGTTTGGTTCCCAATCTATAAATTTTGTTTTAGCCATTACTCTAGTTAAGAAGAAAAAGTCTTTTTGGCACCCTTGTGCCACCTATGAAGGATATTGAAGCCCAACTCTCTTTCTAGAAGTAAATGTTAGGTATGGTAAGATCATATGTATTGAATTGTTCACTATCTCATCTAAAAGATCAAGTTTGCAGAGAAAGAGGTGATTTAATTATTTTATTACTAAACATCTTCTCACATGTAAACAAACACTGTACTCATAAATAGACCAACACATGAAAAATTTGATATGCAAGGCAATAAGACTTGAAAGCATAACATTTTCCCTGCTCTAATACCAAGTTACCTTGTTGACCAACATCTCATCTAAAAGCTCAAACTTAAAAGAGAGAGAAGTAATTTAATTATTTATTATCAAATGACCACTTTTTCAATTCAAATTTATAACTTTTTAATAAGAAATATCACAGATCATTCAAGTAAAAATGAATGATCCAAAGGACAAGATGGATCTAGTTCAAGTACGAAGTGGAGAGGATCCAAATCCTTCACATGTACCTCAGGACCATGTTGTTCGGCCACATAGGGTAGGATTCTAATGTTTGGGTTGCCAAAGTTTTTTTCTTTTTTTTTTAATCCACCCACATGGGTTTTTTTTTCCTTTTGTGGGGGGGGGGGGGGGGGGGAGATAAGGGAGACACTAGTCAAGATGACTAGCAATCATCCATTGAGGGTCATGATTATTTGAAAACATACAGTGAAGAATGTTGTTCCATAGTTGGACTAAATGATGCTATCCACAGTAAGTTTAAAGCTATATAGACTACAAAGTTCAATATTAACTTGATTAAATGTAATAAAAATGTACCTTATAGTGAGATTTACCTGAGATTATGGTCCGAGACAAAGTGGAAAATAAAAATAATAGACATGTAGCCAATGCCAAGTACTGGAAAAAGGCTTTTTTTTGATTTGGTCCATATCATTAAACTTTTCATTTATTCTATAGGAAATGCATGGTGTGTCTCTTGCTTCATCCTTGATTGTTTAGTGCAGTCAGGAGAGCTGATGCATCCTATAGAAAATTTCCAAACTCTGATGAGGCAATAAATAGATCCAACTGACTTTTAAAAAATGTGCGAACTTAAATTCTAAATGGCATGAGTCCTAATAATGGGATAATCTACTGTTAATTCTATACATAAACCAAGGGAACATGTTTTTCCAGCTATCGAATTTCAGACTTCATTTCTTTAATCTTTACATGATACACCTACAACAGTTACTTAAACTCATACTTCATTTTCTTTTGCCAAACTGCAGCATGGATGATACTCCAAGCATATGGTAAATCTTCTCAGAAATTTCATTAAAAAAATTTAAAAAAAAGGCAAGGGAGGGAGGAAATAATTTATTACCCGATAACTTTATGAAAGGAACAATTTCCCTATATCGTGCAAGGGCTTCCTCAAATCCATGGCATGGTCGATGATCAGGATAAAAGCTGAAGACATACTGATCATGTGTTGATGCTGCCAATAAATATATGTAATAAAGAAATAACACCCTCAAATATGTACAGGGAAAGTTGACCTCCAGGAAGCATGGACATGCCACTCTGTGGGACACAGCTGTGTCGAATTGAAGGTTGTGCTGCTAGGACATGTATTAGACTCGCTAAATGGCCTGACATGTATTTTTAACATCCAAAATGGAAAAGTTGCATGTTCTAATTTTTATTCTTTTAATTTTACTAATTTCACATTTTAATTACCATATATAAAGAGATGCATGTCGATAATATGAAATTAAAAACACACACTATTTATACATAGGTGATAAACAAATAAAATTTGTTATAATTCATAAGGGTCTTTGACATCCAATATCTGAGTTAAGCTCTAATTCTATTGTTTTCTTGTTGGTGCATCCATGTCCTTGTCAAATATCTTGTCCATATCCATGCTTCTTAGGTCAAACTGTGGTAGTGAAATCATGAACAAAGACTAACCATCACCAAATCCAAAACAAGGTATCAAATCATCCTCATCAAAGGAAGATAATGTGCGGCCAATTATAGAGATCGCTTGCTCATAGGGGTTAGGTGCATGACCAATTGCATGGAGGCTTTTCCTGTTAAACGAGTGCTTGCCTACAATTACAAATGCTTCAAGTGATCTACTCAACTGATCAGGAGTTACAAAATAAAAAGTGTAGCCAAAATGAAGTCACCTGTCCATTCATTACTCTTTGTGAAGTCAATACCAAGTATTAAATTCGATGATTCAAGGCCAGCATTTCTTAGAGAAGAAATTACCTAGGAATAAAGGAACCATATTCTGTAAGGCACAAGACCCTCTTAAAGCACAGTATGCATGCATGACAAGAAACCAGACAAATAAAGATGGGTAACAAATTACAGGTTAATCTACAATAAGAAATTCATAGGGAAGGTGAAGAATAAAATTGTGTTTTGTCTGTATAAATTTTTTATAATACTAATGCACATCTTACTCATTTTCTTCCTTAAAGGCTTAGTGGCCCATATTTGAGTAAAGTAACAAGCATTCATCATTCTCTTGCTTGAAATGACAAATGATCAATTTTAAAACCAGTACACCCAATCACCAGATACATTATGCTACAGTATCTAAACTAGAAGACTTGATATAAGAGATTAGGGTATTCTGAATAGGCCATCATTTTGCACAAGAGAAATATAACTTTAAAATTTTGCTGTTAATAACTTCATATGCCTTGTATGGATATGGGGAGAAAGTTGAACTAAAGCTTGAGGTTCACAACAAGAAACTGATGATTCATGGATTTCTTGCACCCTGTCAACTTCAAATGATAAATAAGCATGCACGTGATTTTTTTTTTCTTTTAATCTGTCTCTGTGTTAATAATTTTTTTTCCTTTTAGTCTGTTTCTGCATTTTTCCTTTTTTAATCTGCTTCTCTAGAATTATTTCCATTTTTCTGCAACTTTTGACAATATTCCGTCAAAAATAATCTTAAAGCCCAATCGTAATACACATTTAGTTTGAGGATGAGCTCTCTAGCACCATCAAATTCTGTATGCTTAAATGAGAGAAAATCTGTTAGCAATCTGAAATCTAAACTGGTAGGCAGCAAAGAAAGCTCTGAATACAAACCTGAAACACTTTTCCTCTTTTAATATATCTATCTATATATCTTACAACTTATACATACACAGACAGATATATGAAACAGGTGCAGTGTACTGCATGTGAACAATCTGATACTTTAAAAAATTTGTATGTACATATGAATATACACATTCTTTTTCAAAATATTTATTATAACATTCATTGATACTGGGGAGAAAAGAGACATTAAAACAAATAATTGATGGACAGTGACAGGTCCATTAACCAGGTCCACTGGATCTGAATGGATCAGTAATAAAATGGACCTAAAAGATAAATAGATTGGATCAGATCTACACCAAATCTAAAATGGAGGTGATGCAGATCTGACCCATTGACAGGCTGAGACTCATTTTGGCAGGCACAAGTTCTGGCAAATAAGGAATGATATGATTTGGCCTGCTGAAACCAAAATGTGTGAGCAGCATTAAGATATCCATTTGGGCCCCCCATGAAAATATTACCGTTTACCTATAGGAGGTTGTGGCACCTCAACCACATCAAATGATAAGTTTGTGATTCTATAAGTTACAAGCCTCAAGACTTTTGAGCGATTATTATTAACCAACATGGACTAGATTCTTTTGTGCAATTGTGGTAGACTCAAAAGTTGTTAATTCTAGTAGCCTGCTTAAGTTGTTAAACCAAGACCTTCCTGACATGTAATAAACTACTCTAAAGTATCATTTAATATATTTTAGAATATCTCCTTTAAATATAGGTTGAGGGATATATGTGTGCATTTGTATTGTTTAGTTAGCATGTACAGCTCTTATACAAATAGACGTCAGCATATGGTCATTTCAATGCCGCATATTCCCACATTATTGATTTTCTCTATTTTTTCTTCTTCTCACACAGTTTCAAAACTGGCATAGGGAAAATCCATCCTAACCCTAAATCACTCTGTAATAACTCCACTAAATTTCTTCTTGGCCATATGTCTTTTTGACCTTATCTCTCCAACTTCAAGGTTGATTCTTACTTGGCCTGTCCTTGCTGAAGTCATGTTGGCCATCGCCATCCCACACGCCTCTACAAGCAGCTTCTTCTCTCATGCATAAACTTCAAGTGCCACCCTCGGCCTCCATAGACCATCTTGTGATAGCCCTGTTCACAGCTTCGGTCCAGATCGTGAACTGGCCTGGACCAAACTGGACCGGACTGGACCTGCAATATCCGGTCTGATTTGGTCCGACTCTGAACTATAAAGGTTCGCGGTCCAGTTACAGTTCAGGTTTTTTTAACCTAAACCGGAACTATGAAGGAATCGATGAACTGGAATCAAGAATGAACTGTGAACCGTGAACCGGAACTGTGAGTGAACCATGAAGGTAAACCATTAACTGGAACTGTATACGAACCATGAACCAGAACCGTGAATAAACTGTGAACAATGAACCATTAAACAGAACTAGTAATGAACCGTGAACCGTGAAAGAGAACCGTAAAATATTTAATATTTTAAAATTTTAATTTTTACTATTTAAAATTTTTCTATTTTGTCATTTAAAGTTAAAATGAAATAAATTATATGTCATAAAAAGTTAGAAGGTTTTATTTTATTTTATTTCATTATTAACACTTTTTGTATGGAAAAACTAATTAAACAAGTTTAATTTAATAAATTGATAATTAATCTATTATTAATTATTTAATAATTAAAAAAAATTAAAATTTATCTCATTTAATTATACAATCTTAAATTTAAAATGTTCTCTTATTTGTTAAGAAAATTAAACAACTTATATTCAAAAAAGAAATAAATTATTTAGAAAAATAATATCACAAATTATATTTATGTCAAAAAAAAAGTAATTAATATCACAAATAACTATAATACGAAAAAATATGTAAATAAAATGTAAGGCAGGGAGTCTCGAACCTAGCACTAGCTAAAAAGAGTCTTTGCTTGGCCTAGTAGTGGTTCTACCACTAGTGATTAGGGAGTAGGGCTTATTTCTCATTTGAATTATAAACGTTTTTGAATTGACCATTAATTAAAATATTATAAAATTTTAATATTATAGTTAATTATAGTTATTAACATAATATAATAAAAAGTAAAATTAATTAATATAAAAATATTTAATTAATATATATTATAAAATATTTAATTAATATATTTATTTAATATAAATATTTTATTATATTTATAAAATAACACTGCCACAAGCATAACATGTCAATAATCATGGCAGGGAATTCCTGCACCCTGTGGTCTACATACCAAGCACTAGCCTGCAAGGATTCCTTGCAAAGGCTAGGTGGGGGCTTGTTTACCATTTGAATTTTTACTGCTGTTCTCACACGTTTCTATATTTGAATTGAATATGAATGTTAATATGAACGTTATAAATGTTATTTATAAATATATGCGATGGTTAATTGGAATTCTTGCACTTCTTCTGTATCTGAACTCTCTCAACCTTTTGTATCTAAACTCTTTCAATTTTCTAAAATCTTATTTTATTACTCTGAATTTGTTATTCATTTCATTCTCAATCTTCCACAATCTCATTTCATTTCTCTAAATTTGTACTTTATTTTTATAGTAAAATGTTCATCAAATCTTAGAAAATCTATATCAAATCCTCCTAGAAGGTCTGTATCGAATCCTTCTAGGAAATTTGTTAATTAGCCTTGTAAAAAATCTATATTTATTGATACACAACCTTTATTAAATTTTCGATCTGAAACTTTTTCTACACCATCTATCAATATGTCTACTATTCCTCCAACACATTTGAAACAACCATGTATATTTATTAATACTGAAGAAAGTCAACATGAAAATGTTAATGCTGATTTGGAAATGGGACAAGAAAATGCCAATCTTATTTCTCCAACAGAAATGGGTAGAGAATTAAAATCGAAAATTTTCAAAACCCATTTCAAAAAAATTGTAATAGATGGACAAATTAAGGCGCAATGTAACTATTGGACAAGTTCTTTTGCGTGGAAAAAAGGAGGAGGTTACAATACACTAAAAAGGCACTTTATTAGTAAACATTCCTCTCAAACGGGATTTGATAAGAGATAAATACAAATCCCTGTTATCATTTTTTTTTTCAACTTATCTACACAATCATCTTTCTTTTTTTTTTTTCAATTTATATACTTAATAATAAATAAAATAATTTCTCATTTAATTTGTATTGCCATCAATATTGCCACGATCTATTCCTCATCTCACATCCGCAACTTGAGCGTAAAATTCAACCCCAAGAGAACCCGGTTTATCATCAACAATTATTCTCCATTTTTATTATTATTATTTTTATATTTACTATTTAAAAGATATTTATAAAATTATATATTTTTAATATTTGAAAAATATTTAATAACCAAAAAATATTTATAACTTAATATATAAATTTTTTTTATCGACAAAATTAAATCACAATTGAACCGAACTATGAATGAACCGCAAATGAACCGCGAACGAACCGGACCATAAACGAACCGTGAATGAACCAAATTGCGAATGAACTAGATCGTGAATGAACTGTGAACGAACCAAAACCGGCCCAAACCGGAATCGTGAACCGGCCCAGCCTAAAACCAGAACTGTGAATTGGACCGGAATCGTGATTAACCAAAACCGGAACCGAACTGGCTTTCAAGATCCTAGTCCTGGTTCATAATTTTTCGGGACCAGAACTGGCGGTTCAGTCCTAGTCCGAGCCGGTTCACAGCCCATGAAGAGGGCTATCTCGTGAAGCTCGTCCACTTTCCTTGAGCCTTCTTCGAATGTTATTCTCCTCATCCACTTGCTCTTCTGGAAACACTTGCTTGATATCCAAAACCCTAATCTCATGTCATCAACAAAAGTTATCAATCATCAACTTTGATGACCCTGTCTGACTTCAACTCTTGACAATAGGGTCCCATAGCCACGACGACTATGTTCAAGTGTCTGCAATCGCTTCCATAGTCTAGTTTGTGTTCATCGCCAGCTTTTACTCTCTGATTTGTGTTCAACCCGGCTTCTACTCTCTAATTTGTGTTCATCATCGACTTTGGTTTTTATCTTCATTGCCAATTTTGGCTTCTAGTTTCTAGGTCTTCTGGTTCTAATTCATTTATTGTAGACAAAGGCTAGAACTTCTGTTTTCTCTTTAGAGCTTTCTTCAATCCAAAGA